TTAATAATTCTCCTGCTTCGCCTCTGAGTATTGCTTTCAGGTGCTTCATTTATTGCGACTTCGTAAGTAGACGATTTCAATGAATAGTTTCTAAAAATAAATCTCGGAATGATACCCATTGCTTTTAATTTCCATTTAATTCTGGCAGCTCCATTTTTGGCGTAGTTTTACAGTAGTGCACGCTGCACCAAAGTTTTTCATTGAGTGACCTCCTTACTGTGTCGTATTTCTCCTCCCACCGATTATACTGTCCTTTGTTTGATTATTAATATTCTTAATTTAATAGTAGGACCGTTATATTATAGATTTTATAATATGATATTTTAGTAATTTTTTGAAGCTTATGTTTGACTGCGATTCCTTGATGTCTTTTGAAAATTCATTATATAATTTTGCCCCTTCAAACATTAGGATTCTTTTACCATAACTATTTCTTGGCGCACCTAAAATTAGATCATTTGCGTTTCTTAGTTGAATTTATAATATCAAACGCTTCAAGATTAACATGTTATTGTGAAAAGATACCTACTTGCAAATATCAGACTCTTAATCATAATAATTTGACATCAACAGGATGACTTATGATTACATTCAGAATCCACAATTACGTACCGTTGTTTAATAACATAAAAAATTGTATAGAAAGTCCTTACAAATAATTACTTATATTTACGCGGATACTACACATCGAATTAACCGACGAGCGTGTATGCGTAGATATATGGATGTAAAGGAGGCGAGATAGGTGTGTCAGGATCGCGCCAAATGGAAGTCCGTAGTCAAAATTCTTGCAAAAGAACACCGATTGCTACCAAGGTTCATTTGCGAGGCCATTGAAATTAAAAAACTTAACTTCAATAGAGAAGATGGCTGATTGCTTCCATCTGCTGGGGATGCCATCTATACAAATAAATAAAATTGAGGTTTATAATGTCAACAGCTTTTTACTTAATACACATAAAAGTATAATATACGGTAGGTACTTATAAAAAAAACAAATTATAAAAGTTTTGTCTGTCTACTTGTCTCGTCTAATCTCCGAAATGGCAGGAGTAATTGTGACAGCACTTACACTGGCTTGCTACTGTCTTATGCTTCTTTTATTTACTTAAAACACCTTGGTCCCCCCCATGCCTCTCCCCCCCCGTACCATGGGTGCTGTAACGTGCTCGAAACGACGGGAATTAAAAAAAAAATTAAAATTAAACGCGATAAAATCCTTTAAATTAGTTTTATTCCAACGAGATTTTTTCACTTTCACTTGCTGGCTTGTTTCGTAAAATTACCACCTGCCAGAACGAGTCGAGAGAGTTTGTAAGTCGAGTTGACGTATGACTATCACTATTTAAATAATTTTTTATAACTTACTACATACGAGTAATAATATTTTGTGCGCTGTGTCTGTGACTCTGTTCTACTCTCAATCACAGACTAATTTATAATTATTATAAAGTTACTCTATGCTAGTCATCAGACTCCAAAGCGTTAATGTATAATCACTACGTTTTATCGAGGATTTGGATTTTTGATTTTTTATTTTGAGTCATTTTTTTATTTTTAATTAATTGTTCTGTTTGTTCGTTATTGTTCTAAGTTGTAACATAAAAATTTATGTTTGTCTTTTAATTATTTATTATTAATTAAATAACTTTCATCCTAAAGTTGACCCCCTTTTTCTAAATTTTAAGTAATATTTACTAAATATCGTTTGTTTGATCGCTATTGATGATAGTTCGATCATAAATTTCAAAAATTTCAACTTAAATGTTAATTATTCAATATTGTTAAGCAGTCGACGGAGCCCCGCTATGATAAATATCAATGTTTATGATATTATTTTAAATGATTTTAATAGAAAAACAAACATGTATCACAATAAAACACTTACGTTTGGAATATAACTCAATCTTTTGTGTAAATTTTAAGTACTTGACTGCTTTATGCACACGTTAACTACACCGATCGGCATTTTGCAAAGAGTACCTATTTCAGCGGAAACGATTTTTACAATGATAAAAACCTTGCGCGCTTATAAAAACGATTCCGTAAACAGTTTTTATAAACGCACAAGATTTTCAAATCCAATACCTTGGCAGAGGGAATAATCATGCGAGGCGAATCCACTGGGTTAAATGGTTTAAAGGCGGCTACTCACTTGCCTGCCGCAGGGGCAATCTAGGGTGTAGGAGTGAGGATGACCCTTAATTGTGATATGTGTATGAAAGCAGGGGCAATTTTCTAGGTCGGCCCTGTGGCAGGGCGGCAGGGGCGCAAGACCTTCCTTGCTCCCTAGATCATAGCTACCGCTACCAAGTGTGTAGCGTAGTTGGGCTATTTCAATTAGTTCGTTAGTGACTTTCGCAGCGCAGCACACTTCACAATGGATACCAATAAGAAATGTGAAATTTGACCATTGGTGATAAAAGTGTATAAACAGCGGCTTCTTCACCCAGTATCTCCTTTTTGTCTTGTTTTTGCGGTAGCACCGCAGAAAGAACGTTATTTGAACGTTGTAACATTTTTAAACATGGTAGAGTCATACTGCAGCTTTTAAGGGCTGTGTTATAGTTGTAATTATTAATTAATTAGCTGTTTTATCAATAAATATGGGTGTCTATGGGCCACAGTATCCATTTAATCAGGTGATCTGTGCTCATTTGTCACCCTTATTCTATATAAAAAAGAGCCTAGGTTATATTTACCGATTCATTGATATTTCGATAAAAATTCTTTTTGGCGCAGTGTTGCCAACCAGCCAATCTCAATTTCTTGATTCCGCTAAGGGACTGACAGCTGCCGACTAGCGCCACCAACAGGTTTAATATTATAACTTCTAAATCAGAGCATGTTTTAGTTTTCTAATTTAGAAGTTATCCTTATTACCATTGGATGGTTATTATTGATGCGATGTTTTATGAAAATATATCGATACAACGAGTATATCAATAACTTTCCACAATATCGTATCTATTCAATGGATCGTATTGTAAACATCAAGTGAATTCGATGCCTTCGATGTATATTGAATATCCTTACTACATACGGATATTCTCAATAATTGCTTAAAGAACAAGCATCCAGCCAATAATCTTAACATAGACTTAGGATATACGTACTACGTAATATACGCCAGTATATCCTAAGTCTATGAATCTTAATAACTTAACATAAAAAAATATATTAGTCTTTGATTATTTATTTATTGCGTAGATAGAGGATTGATAAGATACTATGTCTATGATTTATTGGTTTTGGTTATGTTCTTACTTCATTATACACGCGTAGGATACTCCCTCTACGTATACTCGTAAGTATCATATTAGTCTGTGATTATATATCTCTATCGTAGATAGAATACTAAGTCTATGATCTCTATGCTTCATATCCTGTATAGGACAGTTACTTACCATATTAGTCTGTGGTTACTTAGTAAGTGTGCTATCGCCGGAGTTTTGGCGGGAACTTGACCGGCGGCAGTTTGCTGCTCCTGTTTTATTGTTTAAATAATGGTTTGAAGTGGACTTTGATATGTAAAAGTGGTGCGATTTTGTGTATTAAGTGTCTGCGCATGTGAACTATTAGTGGAAACTGTGAAACAAGTGCTCTGATAGTAATGTGATTCTCAAAATAAGGTGCCTCTCTGCTTAGGCGCCTTGAGATTCCATCGCCAACCGTCAGCTGTCTGCTGGCTCAAGTTACCGTTAAAATCTCCCAAGGACTGCACAATGTGACGCATCAACATATTGTGAAGCAGTATACTATGAAGAATAATTATAATTATTATAATATAATATTGTAACTTCAGGCTCAGAAGGGCTAGATCCTAGAGCCGTAAAGCCAGTTATTAAGAAGAAGATGTGCTATCGCCTCTACGTGTCCTATACTCTTTGCTTCATATTCATACCATACAACTTTATAATTTGTGATTCATACTTTCGGAATCCCGATTCGGGATTCCGTAAATAAATCACACACACACGTTTTTTTTCCGTTCGGAATAACAAGGGTCAGTTGAGAGAAGTTAGCCATTGTGTCTAGACATTCTGCCAGCGAATAATGACGACGATTTTCTAATTGCAAATTCCATTGTTGCTGTATCATTCTTACTAGGTGCTTCCCCTTATCACCCTAAGCTTGCAATATAGTCAATACTATGTAAAAAGATCTATCTATCCAGAGATATTTTTTAAATATTTATGTATGTAAATTCTATCGACGAATTATTAAATAAAATAAGATGAAAGGTTACGAAAAGCTATACACCTACAAGATTAAATGTAAAAACATACGTAAATACACCTACTCGCTTCGGTCGTGCGACGAACACTGAGTGACTGAGCGCATTCCGTACGGAATAACAAGGGTCAGTTGAGAGACGTTAGCCATTGAGTCTAGACATTCTGCCAGCGAATAATGACGACGATTTTCTAATTGCAAATTACATTGTTGCTGTATCATTCTTACTAGGTGCATCCCCTTATCACCCTAAGCTTCCAATATAGTCAATACTATGTAAAAAGATCTATCTATCCAGAGATATTTTTTAAATATTTATGTATGTAAATTCTATCGAGGAATTATTAAATAAAATAAGATGAAAGGTTACGGAAAGCTATACACCTACAAGATTAAATTTAAAAACATACATAAATACACCTACTCGCTTCGGTCGTGCGACGAACACTGAGCGCATTCCGTACGGAATTTACGTATGTGTGTTGCGACTCGTACAAAATCTATGGAAGACGTGCGTTCGGAGCGGCTTTTTTCCATTCGGGATCCCGAACGCACAGACGATCATACGGAATCTCGAATCGGAGAAATACTACAGGACACAGAGTAAGAGTACTCACAAATTATAAAGTTGTATGTAAGAGTACTTTTTACTCTTTGTTTATACGGGTTATGTTTGTGTTTTGTGTAATGTGTATATTTAGCTAATTTTAGCAAAGGAAACATGACAAATAATTTGTTATTATAATAAAATAATAAAGACTACTATGTCCAATACCACGGGGGATAATAACCTGCCTATAAAGCGTTATAGGCGCGATGAGAAGTCTTCAGAGTCTGAAGAAGATGTTGACAATTATGAACCTTACATTCCGGTAAAAGAACGTAAAAAGCAGAAGTTGTTAAAGCTTGGAAGGCTTGGACAAGTTGCTGCGGAGGCTGCAGCAGAGACTAAAAGCTCTAGCGACAATGATCCTGATGATGACGGTGAGTAAACTTTAAAGTATTTCTTTTATAAACAAAAATGAATGTGATACTGCTTATATTTAATTTCCATTAAAAACATAGGTGTCTCTCTCATGCTTGTGTATCACCGTTAATAAATAAAATAAAAAATAAAATGGTGTCTGTGCATAAAATTTATGTACGTAATATTTATTCTCTTTCCAAACTAAATGTGTTTTAGCATCTCAAGAGGAGTGGGGTAGACGCTACAATGTATCACTTCTCGACCAGCACAGTGAACTTAAAAGGCTAGCCGAAGCTAGGGCATTATCAGCAGCTGAAAGGCAGGCAAGAGAAGAGCAGCATATTCTTGAGAGTGTTGCGCAGAGCAAAGCTCTCATGGGTGTAGCTGAGTTAGCTAAAGGTAAGAGTAGTGAAACTAATTTAAATTATTACAATGTGAGTATTTTGTCAATCAACATTTTAAAGAATGTTTGCCAAAGTTGCCCAACCATCCTGCTAAGGTAGCAAATTTTCCTTATTAAAAACAAATGAAGAACAATCAGTCAGCTTTTTAAGTAATTTTTATTTGTAATGTTCCTAATATTGTTTTTTTCATTAGTGTAGGTTGTGTCCAATCTTATAAATATAGTTAAGAATCAAACTATTTGTTATGTTATGACCATCAAAATAGTGAAGGGTCAAATAAGTTTTAAAGATGAGAGTGCATGATATGGATCTCAGTATCAATTGCTTGCCTTCTTAACATATCACATTATTCCCAAAATTTGTGCAAAAAACATAGTTGAACACCATTTTCACATATATTTAATTTAATTGTTTTTTCACCATATGTCAATAGCCTAATAAAGCAGCCAAGCAGTGATAAACTTTAAAATTGACAAATCTTTTCTTGTAAAGCAATTTTAATAAAGCAAATACAAATATCAACACAAGCTTATCTTCATACATCTCTTAAAAACCCACATTCAAATTAGTTCTGACATTGTGAAGTTTAGTGTGTACAAACACACAGATGAAAGTGTTTATGTCTTTTAATTGTGTAGAAAGTCAATTGTAGTTCACAGCCACATTTTCTTCAAAAATTTTTTTTATAATTTCTATGTGTTCAAATATAAATCACTCTTAAATCACCTTTGTACCTTTGTAGGAATTGTTTTTTTTTTGTATGTATTTATTTGTGATTATTGACAACACAAAAACTCTCCAATCACACTCTTAATCTCATGGCTGTTAGATGGGAGATGAAGCTACATTCTTCAACAGATTTAACAGCATACAGGCAACTGAACAGACAGATCTCCAAATGCATGCGGCGGGACTTACGCAACTTCAATACAGCTTGTATTGAAGAAGCGATTGAGCGGAACCAAGGATCCAAAGTCTTTGCCAGAGATCTGTCTGCCAGAAAGAGCCAACTGTCAAAACTGAGGACTGAGTGTGGCAGCATCGTTTCCGGGGCACCTGAGATTTTGAGTGAAATTGAGAGGTTCTATGGGCAGCTGTACATGTCATCGTTGGACCCACACGCACGCAAGTGTGAGTAACGATTTAAGAGCGAGTCTTGTCCGACACTATTCCGAAGATATCCCGGACGTCAGTCTGAGCGAGATTAGAATGGCTCTCCAGCATCTTAAAAACGGCAAGGCCCCAGACGAGGATGGAATTACAGCGGAGCTTCTGTAAGCGGGTGGAAAACCGGTACTTGAAGTCCTTCAGAAGCTCTTTAATTCCGTCCTCCATGGTGGCATTACACCGGAGGCGTGGAGCAGAAGTGTGGTGGTCTTGTTCTTCAAGTAAGGTGACAACGCTCTCTTGAAGAACTACAGACTGATTTCCCTTCTGAGCTGCGTCTACGTGCTGTTTTCGAGAGTCATTACGAATCGTCTTACACGCAGACTTGACGACTTCCAACCTCCCGAACAAGCCGGTTTCTGAAAGGGCTTTAGCACCATAGACCACATACATACCCTTCGGCAAGTTGTACAGAAGTCCGAGAAGTACAATTTGCCACTATGCCTGGCATATGTGGACTATGAGAAAGCCTTGGATTCCGTCGAAATTTGGGCGGTGCTGCAGTCCCTTCAGCGGTGCCAAGTTGACTGTTGGTATATCGAAGTGCTGAAGTGCTTGTACAGTAGGGCTACGATGGCTATCCTAGTACAGAACCAGAGTACGAAACTTATCCAATTGCAGAGAGGTGTAAAACAGGGTGACGTTATATCCCCGAAACTCTTCACCGCTGCATTGGAAGACGTTTTCCAGCTTCTGGACTGGAAAGGATACGGTATTAACATCAATGGCGAGTACATCACTCACCTTCGATTTGCCGACAATATAGTCCTTATGGCAGAATCGCTGGAGGATCTAAGCACCATGCTCAAATCCCAACGGATAGGTCTTAAGATGAACATGGACAAAACAAAGATCATGTTCAATATCCATGTCACACCTATGCCGGTAGTTGGTGGGAGCACTAAGCTCGAAGTTGTTGACGAGTATGTTTACCTGGGACAAATAGTCCGACTAGGTAAGTCCAACTTCAACCGAGAGGTCAATCGACGGATTCAACACGGCTGGGCAGCGTTCGGGAAACTACGACACATCTTCTCATCAGACATTCCTCAAAACCTTAAAACGAAATTATACAACCAGTGCGTGTTGCCAGTGATGACTTACGGATCTGAGACGTGGTCCTTCATTGCTGGCCGTATGAGGAAGCTCAATGTCGCTCAGAGAGCTATGGAGAGGGCTATGCTCGGAGTTTCTCTGTGTGATAAACTTAGAAATGAGGATATCCGCAGTAGAACCAGAGTGACCGACATAGCCCAACGGATTAGTAAGCTGAAGTGGCAGTGGGCCAGCCATATAGCTCGAAGAACCGACAACTGATGGGGAAGAAAGGTTCTTGAGTGGCAGCCTCGTACCGGTAGGTGAAGTGTAGGGCGACACCCCACGAGATGGAGCGACGACCTGGTAAGACATGCAGGAAGTTGATGGATGCAGGTGGCTCAGGATCGTGCTTCGTGGCATTCCTTGGGGGAGGCCTATGTTCAGCAGTGGACTTATGAAAGGCTGTAATGATGATGATGACTGACAACACATATATGGCCATTGTTTGGACTTCATTGAAGGTCCATAGCTTGCAATAGCCACCTACCATCATGTGTGCTATCACTGCCACTTATCTATTAACTTCAAATAGGAGGAGGTACTCAATTCCACTATATATTTTTTATGTGTGTTACCTCATAATTTTTTTCTATGTGAACTGATTTCGATGATTCTTTTTTTATTTAAAAGCTGGTGCTTCTCATGTGATCCTATATTTTGATCAAGGTCTGACTAATAGTTTTTGAGTTATCCTTAATAATATATATTGAATTTTTAATTACATATTTTGCAAAAAAAATACAGCTTTCAAAATGATAAAAAGAAGGGGCAATGGGCAACAGTAACATTATTTTCTCTGTGTAACCATTGTAATGTAATTACAGGCATACAATACGAAGAACCTATTAAAACCTCTTGGAAACCACCTCGCTGCATTCTTGAGAGACCACCAGAGAAGAATGACCTTATCAGACAGCAACTCCGGATCCTTGTTGAGGGAGAGGATGTACCGCCACCTATCAGAACATTCCAACACATGAAATTTCCTAAAGGTTGGTAGTAAAGTAACAGGGCAGATGTCACCTTGCCAGGCATAGGTCGCTGAGTTTTGAAAAACACAATTCTTATTTAAAAGGAAAAATTCTAACATTTAAAGATACATTCTGACATACATATTTAGTTTTTTCTTTATAAAAAAATATCCATTGCAGGAATGTTTCCATTAGCTAACAAAGTAAATCATAAGGCTTTGAGGTTAAGTGAGAGATAAAAGTGTCATACTCGTAGCTTTTCCACTTAAATTTATTGTTTTATTAAGTGCTGTTAAGTTGCAATAGTAATTTTTTTTGTCTTGGTGATGGTTTTAACATTTGTGGATTAGTAAGTGTTTTTAGGTGTGCCGTTTTTATATAAGTTTTAGTTGTAGAAATATAATAGAGGACGAACCTCCTCTTTCGGGATGGAAAGGGTTTGCAATGACTCCTTTTTTTACCCATTGATAAATGTAGAACTTATTAACCGTAATCGCGCCCGACTAAGTAATGGGCCTGCCCATCAACAAACAACAACAAAAAATAGTTATTACTGATCCAAACCAACTGTTTCCTTCAATATGATTGAGTTAGTAATTCATTCTTGGGGCGATGTATACGCTTATACAACAAAATTTCAGAAAATATACAAAGTTTGACCTGTTCAAAGTTCAAAAACTTTATTAAACTAAGTTTGTATAAAAAGGGTTATTATTATATTAAGGAATTTATGGATGATAATAACCCCTGGAAATGAGGTGATCGCTACCAAGCTATTTCTAATTTGTTGTGTTGTTAATTTGTGTAACATCATGATTGTAAGCTGTTATTTAAAAAAAAGTCCCGCTGGGTTTCTTGCTGGTTCTTCCCAGGACAGAGGTTTTTTCCGAACCAGTGGTAATCAAACAAGAGTGACTTCCAATAAGTATTATTTATAATCTATATTGAATAAAAAAGTTTCTGTTTCTGTTTAAAACAACCCTGCAGAAACAATTTCATCTCGTCTCCTTGGTGGGACCAGGATTGCACATCTGCTTGCAAAAAAATGAAAGAGGCTGAACAAAAATACTCTTTATCAATGACCATGGAAAACCACATTTTCTATAAACAAATAGCAGCCGAAACAGTAAAATTGCTATCTCGGAAGAAAAAGCTGGCTGGCATAGGTTTTATTTTACCTTATCTCCTTCCACACCTTCTCTAGTCTGGAAAACCATTAAAAGATATCGCTGTTCTAATACAGTTGAACAAAATGTATCTTCCAATGACCCTTCAATTTGGCTCGAAGAATTTGCACTTAATCTTCATCCTCCTTCAGCGCCCACACATGCTGAATGTTTAGTTTTTAATTCTCCTTCTATACAATCTCTAGATGAATTTGATGCCCCCTTTTCTTACGAGGAATTATTTACAGTTCTTCAGGTTCTTAAGGACTCCTCTCCAAGAGTAGATGGGATTCCTTACTCATTCATAATTAAAAGCAGTAAAAAAAAACTAAACCGGCACCGAAGAAGAAATAAGCCCAATCCTAACCAAGCTATTCAATGATATTATAACAACAGGCACCATCCCGAAACAATGGAATGAATCACATATCATTCTCCTACATAAGAAAGGGAATAAAGATGACATCGGCAACTATAGACTAATTAACCTAATATCAAATGTGTACAAAGTATTTGCAAAAGTAATTCTAGAAAGAATAACAAGGGTCTTAGACGAAAACCAACCGATCAAACAGGCAGGATTTAGAAAGAACTACAGTACTATAGACCACATTCACACAATCAAACTAGTCTTGGAAAAATACAATGAATACCAGAAGACAGTGTATATCTGCTTTATAGACTACTCTAAAGCATTTGACAGCCTAAAACACAAATTTATCTGGCTGAGTCAAAAAGAACAAGGAGTGGACGGTGTCTATATAGAGTTGATCACGTCCATCTACAAAAAAAAGCAAAAGCAGTATTAAATTAGAGTCAAAAGGAGACCCCTTTTCAATAAACAGAGGCGTGAGACAAGGAGACCCATTATCTCCAAAGCTTTTTAATGCTGTGCTGGAACACACATTTAGAAGATTAGACTGGGATGATTATGGTATTATAATCAATGGAAGCCGCCTCAATCATTTGAGATTTGCAGATGATATTGTCCTGTTAGAAGAAGATCCTAAGAAACTAGAACATATGGTAAAAGACATAGCAGAAAAAAGGAGAGAAGTAGGTTTAGAAATTAATGCAGATAAAACTAAACTAATGACTAACTCAACAGAGAGCAACATAGGGGTCTACGGAACCAAGTTCGAATATGTGAAAGAATATGTTTACCTAGGACAAATTATATCTGCTGACGACTCCATGTCCAACGAAATAAACAAAAGAATAGCCTGCGGTTGGAGGAAATACTGGTCCTTGAAAGAAATAATGAAGAACAAAGATCTAGGCATACATATCAAGAGAAAGACTTTCAACACTTGTATTCTCCCCTGCATGATATATGGCTGCGAGACATGGACATTAATGGACAAACACAGAGAAAAACTTTATTAAAATAACTAAAACTGTATTTCTTGATATTCTGAACCACATTATTGACTCGGGAAGAATGGAAGACCCAAATAATACTGCCTGTTCTCAAACCGGGTAAAGCCAGTGAAGACTTTTCAAGTTACAGACCCTGTCAGGTTGAAGGGTTAGACCAAAATCAGGTCTTGGGTTTTTCTGTCAGAAAATTCTCAGTGACAGTCCGTAGTCAGGAAGTTGGCAAAGTTTTAACTCCGTGCCCCAGAAAGCACATAAAGCCGTTGGTTCCTACGCCAGTTCGCTACGCCTGGGTAGGTGTCTGAATGCTGTCCTGCCGGAAATGAGAGTGAAGGAATAGAGAATACACCTGTGCTTGTTATTACATATACACATTCGTGCACAGTAATTTTGTCCTGTATCCGTCGATTGAAATTTGTTTGGTAGAACATTAATACAAAATTTTAGGCAATCCCCTAAGCGAATGTGCCGAAAGTCTTAGATAGACAGTCAAATTGGTGTAGTAACATCTTTGTTGAGATTAAAAATTTATTAAATCGTGTTTTTAATAAGGTAGAATAAGTACTTTGGAATCTATCATGGTGATAGCACACTCATTTATCAATTTTTTTGTTGGATCCAATTATATTTATGTGCAAAAATCTCTACATGATAGTTTTAACGTAGAATAATACATTCCAGGTATCCTTCGAGGTCTTGAAGAAAAAGGCATAAAGAAACCTACACCAATCCAAGTCCAAGGTATTCCAGCAGTTCTGAGTGGAAGAGACATGATTGGTATAGCTTTCACTGGTTCCGGGAAGACCCTTGTTTTCATTCTGCCTATCATCATGATGTGTCTTGAACAGGAGATAAAGATGCCATTTATTAGGTAAGAAGACTTTCTAAATACTATTTTTTCTAGATACTGTATATATAAATTGGTCCAGGAAGAGCATAGTCCTTATTATTGATTACTGTCTCATAGAAATCTGAGAAAGCTAAATCTGAATGACAGGTTGAGAAATAGGGCGATAAGAGAAAAGTGTGGTTTGCAAGATGATGATGTGACCAGGATTAAGAAAGGAATGCTTCGGTGGTTTGGTCATGTAGAAAGAATGAACGAAGAAATAGTGACGAGGAAATAGGGTTGGGAAGGGACGCCCTAGACGAAGGTTTATCGACCAAATCGGCGATATATTGAAAATGGGCCAGATTAGGAGTACCCTTAACCGACGAGCGTGCATGCGTAGATATATGGATGTAAAGGTGGCGAGAGAGGTGTGTCAGGATCGCGCCAAATGGAAGTCCGTAGTCTCTGCCTACCCCTCTGGGTGACAGGCGTGAGTGTTTATGTATTATGTATGTTTGACTCATAGCCACATCTACCCTCAATAAGAGTTAAAATGTAGCTACGTTGTTACATCTGACTTACAATATGCTGCCATTTGACTGTCTCGTTGGTCTAGTGGTTGTAGTAGTGTGACTGCTGATCATGAGGTTTCGGGTTCAAATCCCAGGTTGAGCTAAAAAATAAATCAATTATTGAGCTTTTCCATCAAGAAATGTTCAGTAGCTGCCCGGAGTCAGGAAGTTGGCGGTGTCTCACCCCCTTTGCCTCAGAAAGCACGTAAAAAATTCTGAGTTCTTTTGGGTTTAAACCCTCCATTTCTTATCAAACACAAATTGTTTAGGGATATTATCGTATTTGGCTTGTAAGATAGGAGATTTGGAAAAAATTCTGCCAATTATACCTGTATGGGGGACACTACTCTTATCCATACATTAAGGGTCTTGAGTCTGATGGCAGCTAAAGTCGCTTCTTGGTGTATGTGTAGGTGAAGCGGGGTTAGCTCCAGCATAGCTTCTAAGGCTGCTGTTGGTGTAGTTCTTATGCAGTCCGTGGCAGCCATACATGCCAGTCTCTTGTAGCGCTGAAGCTTCTTAATTGTGGTGGCTTCATTTGTTTTGGTCCATCATACCAGAGCACCGTATGTGATCTTGGACTGGATCACGATTTTGTATAGCCACACTATAATTTTTGGCGTCAAACCCCATCATTTACCAATCACGTTTTTGCATTGTCAGAAAGTTACACTATCCTTCTTGATTTTCTTTTCTATGTGTTTATTCCAGTTCAGTTTATTGTCCAAGGTAAGACCTAAATATTTTACCTCAGAGGATAGCTGGAGTTTTGTGCTGAAGAGACTCGGGAGCTGGTAGTTATTCAGCATTCGTTTTTGTGAGAAAATTACTAGAACCTTCTTATTTGGGTTAACGGTTAAGTCATATTTTCTGTACCATCTCTCGACTATACGGAGAGCCGATTGTGTCAGTTTGCACACCATGCTTGCTGTCTTTCCAGAGACCAGTATTGTCAGGTCATCTGCATAACCTACTGTGTAGAAGTGATTGGCATTTAATTTGCTGATGAGTTCATTAATGACCATATTCCACAGGAGATGCAAAAGAACCTCACCCTGCGGGCAGCCTTTCTTAATCTGGATTGTTTGAGATTCACCAGCAATCTTTATTGTTCGTGTACTGAGCATGGTTACTAACCAGTTAATCAGTGCCAGTTCACTTTATGTCTACTTAGTGCACTTTTTATGCTGGAGAAGTTCCTTCTGTCAAAAGCACCTTTTCTATATCTATGAAGGAACCTAGACATATTGCTTTGTTTTGGATGGCCTCTTCAATCTTTGTTATTACCTGGTGAAGTGCCGATTCTGTCGATTTACTTAAGCTGTAGGCGTGTTGTTTGTCGTGTTGCGGTAAGTTCGTTAGCGCCGACCCGCTTATTTCCCTTTCACATATCCTCTCCATCGTCTTTAGGAGAAAGGATGTGAGGCTAATGGTTCTATGGGATTTAGGCGTCTGTATAGTCGCTCTTACCTGGTTAACAAGTCTGATTATTAGGGCTTTAAATGAGTTACACAGCAACCTGGGAAGTACGTTTCAATTAGGATGCTTTGAGCTTCATCCGGCGATGTTGAGTAGCTTCCGTCAGGTTTCTTTAGAGAGATGGATCCCGGCGTGTTTTGTTTACCTAGGATTTTTATTATCCGATTCGCTTGTTCACAGGTCTATGTTATCACAGAATTTACGCCATCCGGTCGAGCGTCGGTATCTGATACATTTTTTTATTCAGATTTAGCTTTTCATCATCCTCATTAAACAGTGGTAGAGCCACGCGGCAGCTTTTGCTGTCGCACGGATGGGCCGGCTCGAACCGGGGTGGTACCACGACCTCACAGAAAACCAGCGTGAAGTAGAGGTTTACCTCTGCGTTTCGCTTGGTGAGTGCAGGTGGCCGGAGGCCCTTTTTACTGGAAATGAGGCATTCCATCTTAGTCCTCACGGGTGACAACGCATCTACATTTTGATTTGTAATAGAGGATTGATGTAGATGTCTATGGGTCACAGCAACCACTTACCATCAGGTGGCCTGTGTGCTCGTTTGTCACCCTTATCCTATAAAAAAATCCTCAATGAATAGTATTCATGGCCCTTTTTAGGGCTTTTCTTACCTTACGTTTTCTATCTAGTTCTTTACCCCACCACGGTGGCTTTTTCACAGCATACCTTGGTGGAGTGATTTTTGCACATGATTCATGGTAGCTATCCATCATGACTTTAGTAACAGCTGCTACCTGTTCTTCTAGGTGCGACTGATCTGCTATGGTGTTTGTCCCCTCAAAACCCGCGAGCGAAGACGTCAGCCCGTTTAGTTATTTTGTTTTATCCGTCTTGCGGGGATTTCACCATGGTGGTATAGTGGGGATATCGACCTGAAGGACGAAACAGATCCATCTATGGTCTGAGCGTGAAGCCTCTCTAGACACATGCCATTCCGTAAATAGTTTAGCTGCTTGTTTTGTTGCTAGTGTAAGGTCGATTATTGTTGGACGATGTTTGTTTATAAAGGTTGGTTTGAAACTTGTATTTAAAATGATTAAGTTAGTGCTAAAATAAAGGCAACTGTATCCATCGACTTCCTGCAGCGACTCGTAAGCTAGTCATTATTCATTCAATAATGACTTGGAGGCTGAAATAGGTAAAGGATGATTCCAAACCAAAACAACTCTACATAATTATCAGATAAGTATCAATGAACATAATTATTCTTTAGAAGCATTCTAAACCATATTTTGTTTCACAATATGGTTTAAAATGCTTCAGCATATACTGTGACAGTCATTGAACACTGGCTATAGAAATAATCATGAAGGAGAACCTGCGATCTGATCTAAAGATTGTCAGGTTGACAAACAATCACAGCATACAATTACCATACTGTGCCCCATAGACAGATGTCTTCAGCATTAAGCTGCTATTTCACGTTAGTGTTCTGTGAGACTGTGATACTTCCCCGGTTAAGCCGTCCCATTCATGCTACAACCATAATACAGCTTTAGCATACCACAACTATTTAAAGATGTAACCATTGTTCTTTATCCTTCAGAAATGAAGGACCCTATGGGCTGATCATCTGTCCATCCCGGGAGTTGGCTAAGCAGACTCATGACATTATCCTGCATTTTGTTAAGCACATCAAGCTCTCCGGGAACCCTGAGATACGAAGCTGTTTGGCTATCGGAGGTAATTGAAAATTTTTCTTCTCTTTCAGAATGTAACAATATACAGGGTTATTTTTCAAAGAGTAGCCAAATTTTCAACTTATGTTCAAATATATAAATAATGATACACCTTAGTATGCGGTTTTTTTCTTTCAAAATACAATTAAATAAGGCTTCTACTTTTATTTGAATTTATCCCAAATTGATGGTGATTTATGGGCAACAACGTTTTTGCCTACCGATCAACCCTTACGAATGTAAAATTAATGGTAATGCATTATTTTAAGTAAAATTAGTTAAAATAATGCATTACCACGCATTTTGAATTTAAAAGATAAAAAGCATAGAATTATTGAGATTTTTTTTATAAATTTTTCTTCGTCATTTGCTTATATTACTTATTCTGAACCTTCTCTGCAAATTTGACCAGTTGTAAAATATCCCTGTATATGTATAGGCTGCAGTCACCACTAACCGTCAATGGATCTCTAAGTTCGTTAGTTACTTCAGTTTTATGCAAAAAAAGTTAAAACATTAAAAACCACCCACACATGTCAAAAACACACTAAGACACAATGTAGAGCTTCATCACCACTTACCACCAAATGGGATTATAATTAAGTACTGGCGTATAATTAGGGTTGCCAGATGGTCGATATTCGTCTGGATTCTATCTATATTTTTAATGATTTCCTGACTCCCGACAAAACTTTTTGACTTCTCCAGGCAAACAGCTTCGTCGCGCGCCTTTGATTTAATAAAACTGACTGTGTAGTTTGACTGAACTTTGAATTAAATTGTTTGAATTTTAAATCTTTTCTAAATACTACTAAAGGATTCAAATTGGTGGACTCAGTACAATACAATCAAATACATGTGGCAACCTAAAAATTTTGTGTACTTAAATTTTTTTTATAGGAGAGGGGGCAAAGGAGCATACGGCTCACCTGATGGTAAGTGATTACCGCCGCCCAGGAACAGCTGCAACACCAGGGGAATTGCAGATGCGTTGCCGGCCTTTTAAAAAGGATTACACTCTTTTCTTGAAGGTCCCTAAGTCGTATCGGTCCGGAAAAATCTCTGGTGGTAGTCGATTCCACAAGGAAGTTGTGCGAGGGAGAAAACTTCTTTTAAATCGCACAGTGGTGGACCGCCAATCATCCAGATGATATGGATGGTATCGCGAGTTTTGTCACGATGTGCGATGGTGAAATTGAGCGGATGGAATTAGTCTGAACAATTCCTCAGAGCACTCCCCGTGGTAGATGCGATAAAATACGCAAAGAGATGCAACATCTCTACGCAGTGCCATTGAGACAAGCCGATCGGAAAGAACTCAGTCGTCGACGATTCGAACCGCTCTGTGTTGGATGCGGTAAAGTGGAAGGAGCTGGCACTGGTGAGCCCCTGCCCAGAGATGGGAACAGTATTCCATGTGAGGCCGAACCTGCGCCATGTAAAGTTGCAAGCGGTGTGCCGGCATGAAATACTGTCCCGCTCTGCTGAGCACGCCAAGCTTTTTAGAGGCCAATTTGGCCTTCTCTTCGAAGTGACCACGAAACTGCACGTCACTCGATATGTCGACTCCGAGGATTCCGATACGGGCTGAGGCAAGAAGGGGAGTGCTTTGAAACTGAGGAGATACGACAAAGGGGTTCTTTTTAGCGGTAAACGCGCAAACTTGTGTCTTCTGAGGATTAAACTGGACTATACGCATAGCAATGAACGTTACCAGTTAGCAACATATCATTGATATGCAGAAGAAACAGCGTTGGTGATAGCACACAGCCTTGTGGAATACCAGCGTTAATAGGCTTGTAGTCGGAGCATGCACCGTCTACAACGACCTTGATGCTCCAATCTGCAAGGAAGCTGATGATCCAATCGCACAATTTCTCGGGAAGTTTTTTAGAGGCCTATTTCGCCTTCTTAAAATTATTTATGCGTCAACAATTTTAAGACTTATTTTGCATTTTTATTTTTAATGTTAATTTCTCACGACAGGAACTTCTAAATCTCGACATTTTCAAATTTTTTCCAGATATTTTAGTCTTCCGATCTGGCATTCCTACTTATAATAAGTTAAAAAAAAATGTATTTTAGGTGTGCCGGTGTCAGAGTGCATGGAAGTGGTGCAAAGAGGCGTGCACATTATGGTGGCAACACCAGGAAGACTGATGGACATGCTTGATAAAAAAATGGTATGTATCATTTAAAACAAGTTTTTCAAAATGTTGTTTGATTTTTTCCATTATTTTGATTAGAGATTTTACTATAAAATTTAAACTTAGATAAAATTTTCTAGTTGAATTCAACTTAAATTAAGGAACCTCTAGCGTATCACCTCGACCTATTCTACAGGATGTCTGCCTTAGGTACGCCTAAACGTGTGCCGCTACCTCTGCATGGACGAAGCTGACCGGATGATCGACATGGGCTTCGAGGAAGACGTGCGCACCATCTTCTCTTACTTCGCCGGGCAGCGGCAGACGTTGTTGTTCAGCGCCACCATGCCTAGGAAAATACAGAACTTCGCCAGGTAAGTAACTGCTAAATGTGTAGGTTTGTAGTTATTGGATTGGTTGTTCGAGGGGTCTTGAGTTCTTTGTGGCAGCAGCGTGGGAGGACTCCTCATTCCATCACATCCCGAGGATACCGATATAATAGGAGAGGATAGTAGGAGATTGAAAATGTAAGAAAAAAGAAACTGAAAAGAATTTTCAAAGCTACGAACCAATGCAACTACAAAATATCTATAAATTACATTAATAATATTTTGGATTACAAGAATGAATAAAAAGGCTTTCAATATGAAGTATACCAATTTCAAACAGGGTTTTGAGTTAGTTTATATATATATATATATATATATATATATATATATATATATATATATATATATATGTATATATATATATAGAGATCTCTTCACGGTAAATGTTGATCAGACGCGACTTCACGCGAGCACTTTGTTGATCCGAAAATGTATGTTGATCCGACGCCTTTTCTTGATCCAATATGCATCTCTGGTAACTAATGTTGCTCCGACAGGATCAACATCTACACTCACGGGACTACTTACTAGCGTTCCCCGAAGTTGATCTGATATACAAATCCACCTTACGATAGTTACGCAAAATGTTGATCCGATTTAAATGAGCCAATCAGAGCACATCAAACGATCGGATTGGCTGAAAAAATCCGCGACGTTGCCGTTTCGTTTCTTTGGCGGTGGCAGCGACGATATTGTCTAAGGTGGACTTGAAAAACAGAAACACTGCTTCACTATATCAAAATAATAATCACAAACAAAACTAAAATATCTATCAAAGAAACATAGAGTAATCAATAATATTGCAACCTGACTTACTTATTAGTCGCTAGTCACTAGAATTAAGGATGCATTTGCAAAATTGATAGTTATAGAATCGAACTATTATATAATTTATTATAATAATTTTATATAATAATTTTACAAGTCCAAGAACATCTAGTTCGACATTTCCTTGGACCTGCAGCATCAACCACAGAAAGTAATCTTCCTCAAAGATCTTCAATCTCCTGTAGCTTTCCAAGATCTTCAATTGCTTCTTCAAGCAATTCTGGACATTCTCTGGAAGAAATACCACGAAAGGCCGACAATAAACTCGTACGAAATAGATGCACTGCTATGTCAAATTGAAAAATGAAGGATTATTGGCTAGAAACGCTAAGCAAGTACACACTGAGTGCAAAAGGTGTGAAAAGGGATTCAGTTTAGAATGTTACGAGTATAATGAGAAACATGCTTGATTTTATAATATTTTCTTTGAATAAAATCCTCACCTTCAGTATTTGAGTTTTATTTATAGCAAGTTTATTGTAGTTATTAAATGACAACTTTAAAAAAATTGCGAAGTTTTCTTTTATTATTATAAACAATAGGTTTTTTACTATACGTCCACGTATGATTTAAAACAATATCACGTCACGTTCATACCAACAAATGTGCCTTAAGTTGTATTGAGAAATGAGTCACCTGTGACTCATGAACTTATTCTAATACGTTCCTGTGAGTCATATATGACTCATTGGAGAGGGAAGTTGAGTTTTCCCCGGGTGTTCATGCAGCGATCACTCAAGAGTTCACGACGCCGACACATGAACTTGAACAGTCATCGCAGTTTATGTCCGTACTAGCTGTTGCCAGCGGCTTCGAACGCATGTAACTCCAAAATTATGCAACAGAAACGAAATACCTGAATAAACGGTATCATATGTGTTATATAAACCTATCTCTGAGCAAAATATCATCCAGATCCCTTCAACCGTTCTGGCATGATTGAGTAACGTACATCCATTCATCCATCCATCCAAACATCCAAACTTTCGCATTTATAATGTTTAGATAATAATTATAATTAATTCAGCCTATCTATAAATTGTTTTCTAAAATACTTACTAACCTGTGTTCTTACTTTTTTTATGTACAAAATCTAACGTTTTTAACGCGCATCCTCAGACACCCTAATTAGTATATTATGTTATAATCATAATACATTATTTTTAATTATTATTATATTCTTACTAAAACATGTTTATGCATTGATTATTTATTAAATTAGTTATACTAATTCCGGAAGAATGTTGTGGTCACCGTACAAAACCACGAACGCTAGGTGTAAGTACTTGCTAGTTTTTTTTGAATTAGCATAACATTTTAATTGTATTTGTAAATAATAATGAACTGCTAAAACTAACATAATTCAAGGACGGCGTGTTTAAAAGATGTGAATCAAGATTACAATAATTTTAAGAATCAAATATTTAACTTACTGATAGCCTAAACTCTCATGCAACGTTGTATTTAAACCACAACGGTTCCGTGGCGCAGTGGCTTAGCAATTGAGTTGCAGCGCTAAGGACCGCGGGCTCGAATCCCGCGCGGAACAATATTTGTATGGCCTACAAATAATTGTTCCGGGTCTGGATGTTTGACCTTGTGCAATTTATGTTTGTACACTGCCCCCACAATACAAGAGAAAATCCTAGTGTGGAGGTTACGTTTTAAAAAAGAAAGAAAATAATTTAGAAAGCAATTCAGTGTCATTTTTCAATATTCTAAAATCGTCACAAAAAGGTCCTCGGCACTTGTTGGCTCACTAAAGTAAACTAATGATTTAATACATCCCCATAAAAAAAGTCAAGAGGCGTCAAATCAGCTGATCTGGGAGGTCAGTGGCCTGGCCGCCGCGACCTTTATAAGGCACTCCAAACTCTGTATTTGTAAAGACTTTAACATACTTGAAATAAGGTTCAATTTTCTTTATTTTGTATTGAATGACGGAATTTGTATTAATACAAGTAAAACTCACTTTTAAAAGTCTTATTGCCTTGAGTTACGGTCCATTTCAGTTTGTTTTGACTGTACAGGTTTAGGCGTGACTGTAAATTACGTAGTTTCAATTATTTTTGGGATAAAAAAATTACCTATATTAAAAATGATAGAAACCGATTTAGTAAACGATTCTGAACAAACTACTTTCACAAAGTGCGTTAATTATGTTACGTGTTGTCAGAATGTGTCAAAGAAGGTACGTATGGCAATTCATAGTGCTGTGTTAGTCCCTACTTTAATGTATGGTAGTCAAAGTTGGGTCTGGCAGAAGAAGCATGAGAATAGAATAAATGCTGTAGAAATGCGGTCATTAAGGAGTATGCTAGGGCTGAATCTGAATGACAAGGTGAGAAATAGTATGATAAGAGAAAAGTGTGGTTTGCAAGATGACGTTGTGACCAAGATTAAAGAAGGAATGCTTCGGTGGTTTGGTCATGTAGAAAGAATGAACGAGGAAAGAGTGACAAAGTAAATTTATGTTTCAGAAGTGAACGGCAGAGTCGGGAAGGGACGCCCTAGACGAAGATTTATCGACCAAATCGGCGATACATTGAAAATGGGCCAGATTAGGAGTACCCTTAACCGACGAGCGTGTATGCGAAGCTATATGGATGTAAAGGAGGCGAGAGAGGTGTGTCAGGATCGCGCCAAATGGAAGTCCGTAGTCTCTGCCTACCCCTCTGGGTGACAGGCGTGAGTGTTTGTGTGTGTTTGTGTTGTATACTCAATATCACTAAACGTAAACACAGGTTTTTATCAAGACAAGTGACCCATCAAGATTGTTTTCTTAGTACCGACGTACCTACCTAAAGTTTACATTTTAGTGTCCACGACGCAGCAATGATTTGTGACAGTTTGTTGTATTGTAGGTTGTAGGTAAAGTAACAGTAGGTATCTATGATAATCCTACATAATATACCTAGTTTGTCCGCCGCAAAAGTCGTCGAATAAATAATTAAACTGTTTTGTAAATCTTTATTGATTATTTATTTATTTATAAGATGTTCATTGAGAGCCGTGGTAGTTCAGATGTTTAGCGCTCGCTGTAAGTATCACAGTACGCGATGAACCCGGGTTCGATCCCCGCCGGCACCAATGAAATTGTTAATAATAATAAATAATCAATGCATAAACATGTTTAACTAAGAATTCAGTGTATGTATTATGATTATAACATAATATACTATTGGGGTGTCTGAGGATGTGCGTTATTTATGTTAGATGTTGTGTATATAAATAAAAGGGGGTGAAATGCGGTTTGAAAGGTTATATGAGTCCTATATTTTTGAAGTTAGACATATGAAAATCGGCATTTAGATTATTAACTTTAAATAATAAAAATCTGTGTAAATTATTTCGAAGTGTTTTAATTTTTTTTAATTTAAAGCACTTTAAAAACAAAAACACTGTTTCACTATATCAAAATAATAATCACAAACAAAACTAAAAATATATATAAAAAACATAATAATTCATAACATTGCAACCTGAACTACTTATTAAGTCGCTAGTTACTAGAATTAAACAATTAAATACAAAAACAAAACACACATTTAAAAACAGAATAAAAACAGAATAAACCAAATTTTTACATTCTAGAGCCATGCTGCAGCTGTATTACTGGTATAGTTGTAGCACGAATGGGTCGGCTCGACCGGGGAAGGACCACACACTCACAAAATACCAGCTTAAAATAGCACCTTAACGCTGTAAACGAGGCATTCCATCTTAGTCCTCACGGGTGACAACGCATCTGCATTTTGATTTAGATGTAGATGTCTATGGGCCACAGCAACCGTTTACCATCAGGTGGACTGTGTGCTCGTTTGTCACCCTTATCTTATAAAAAAAACAATAATCTCAAACAAGATTCAAAAATATACTTTAAAGAAACATAATCAATAACATTTCAACCTGACTTACTTAGTCCTCACAATTAAATAATCAAAACAATAACCACAAATAAAATTAAAAAAATATTAATTATAAAAACATAATAACATTGCAACCTTGTTGCAACTTGACTTATAGGTACTTTTATGTCACAACTCACTACTTAATAAGTTTCATTTCAGCATTTGATTTATGAACTATAAAGTATTATGGTAACCGGGTAGGGTTAATTCGTATTGACATGTTTATATCTCCTTTTGTAATTGTTC